CTTGGGGGTGTTGGTTGATGAGAAGCTTAATGTGAGCCGGATTCAGTGTGCGCTTGCAGCCTAGAATGCCAACTGTATCCTGGGCTGCATCAAAAGAAGCATGACCAGCAGGTCAAAGGAGGTGATCCTGCCCCTTTACTCTGCTCTCATGAGACCTCCCTTGGAGTATTGTGTCCAGTTCTGGTGTCCTCAACATAAACAGGACATGGAGCTGTTGGAGCAAGTCCAGAGGAGGGCCACGAGGATGACAAGGGGGCTGGAGCACCTCCCGTATGAAGACAGGTTGAGAAAGTTGGGGCTGTTCAGCCTGGAGAAGAGAAGGCTGTGTGGAGACCTCAGAGCAGCCTTCCAGTGTATGAAGGGGGCCTATAAGGATGCTGGGGAGGGACTCTTCATTAGGAACTGTAGTGGTAGGACAAGGGGTAATGGCTTTAAACTTAAACAGGGGAAGTTTAGGTTAGATATAAGGAAGAAGTTCTTCACAGTGAGGGTGGTGAGGCACTGGAATGGGTTGCCCAATGAAGTTGTGAATGCTCCATCCCCGGTGGTGTTCAAGGCCAGGTTGGACAGAGCCTTGGGCGACGTATTTTAGTGCGAGGTGTCACTGCCCATGGCAGGGGGTTGGAACTAGATGATCTTAAGGTCCTTTCCAAGCCAAACCATTCTATGATTCTATGATTCATCTCTGTGACTTCATTGTCCCAGTGTCCTGGTTTTGATACCACGACACCAGGATAAATTCAGGTGTGCAGAAGAGGTGTCAATTTACCTAATAACATAAAATAAATAACCTGTTTTGTTTAACTTCTCAAAGAATAATAGACTGTTGCTGACACAAAAACCCAGATGGTTATTGCCTGGCCATGAGGTTGGGATCTACAATTTTCTAACCAGAGGTGAGATTCTAGGAAGGTTTTTCATTAATGAGGTGTAGAATAAAAGAGGAGAGAGGGAGAAAGGGATGGCAAAATATCCAACTAGTTTTGTAGAAATCCTGTTAAGCTGAGAACAAGGAGGTCTGGTGTAGAATCTGAGACAATGGGATACAAGACCCACTGACAGGTCATGTGGCTGAGCAGCTGTGTGACAGTTTAGCTGTAGAAGTTGCGCAAGTGCGTGCTCTTTGCTTACCTTGTTTGCTGAGTTAGTTAAACTGCCCTTACAAGACATTAAATTAATAAAGTGTATCTGAATGAATTAAAAATATGGTAGAAGTGAAAATGGCAATTTAATATAAAACAGAAGTTCTAGGTTCCAAGTATGTGTTGGCTACTTGTCTGCACTCCTCAGCTAAGTTTTGACACAATCAGCATGTCTAATGATGTATGATTATGTGTGACACACATGCTTGATATGCATATGATATGCAATATCACATGAGAAAAGGAAATAGTATCAATAGATCCTCAGGTCAATACTTATGTGCAGTGTAACCACTGTTGGCTTTGTTTCCATGGCACATGTGCAGGACCTGTTGGCCTAATGGAAAATGTAGAGCCCATGGAAACGTTACTACAGAGCAGCCTACCATTCCTTTTTCCTGGGTAAAATGAGTAAAGGAAAATCATGTAGGACAACACAATCCCAGATTTGCTTCAGTACACTTTGATGTTGATGTATCTGGAAAAGCAAGTTTCCATTTAGGCTTTGAGTTAGGAATCAGTGAATTCATCTGTCTTCACCTATCTGGCTGAGCTGCAAACAGTTCAAATTTCACAGTGCAACATTTTTGAATGGCAGCAGGGAAAATTTTAATTTATTACATTGGCTAATGGCAGATTCCTTTTTGAAAAGCAATGAATATTTGCACAGCAAGTTCTCTAAAGTGATGAAGCAAGCTTCGGTGCCCAAAAAAACCCCAAGCATGGGGAGAAAAAATGTATAATATGGCCCTAATAAAACAAGAGTTCCTCTGAAATCATGTTTAGTAGCTACTCAGAAAGTTTCTCAGAGTAGTAATTTATTTATACTTTTGTCTATGCTCTGTTGGCAAACAGTTTATCAGAAGTGCTTCATGAGATTAAATGTTTATCAACATAGATCTGTGATTAGCAAACCCATATGCATTCTAAGCATTGGCATGGCAGAAATTCACAGATGATGGGGTTTAGTGCAAGTATTCAATGTCCTTCCTTCATTAAAAGTTGCACTGTTTTTAATTTTGTCACCCAGCTTCTTAGACATGTTGTTGCAAGCTGCAAAGTTGCTTGGTTTTTTTAATCCTGACTAGTGTCCATGATTGAGAACAGAGTGCCAGTACACTATTTGATATTTTTGAGAATTTGTGTTGTTGAAAACTACCTTTGCCCAAGGGTTGGTACACTAATTGTAAATAAAACCAAGCCACTAATAAAATCCTGACTCAAATCGATCAGAATGAAAGTCGAACTCTCAACCGCCGTTACTGGTTAACATAGAGGAATGAGACAACAAAATTAGCACATTTCTGTGAGGTCATGGCTCCTTACAAAAAGTCATGATAGCAGCACCTGAACAAAGTCTGTATGATTCTAGTAATTACCCTCAATTTCCTTTTAGAAAAGCTAGTTAATTTGGCTTGACTTCTGGAGCTGTTGAAGAACAGAATATAATCTTTACAGGTGAGTCCACCAGTGCACCTTTAAGTGGACTTGCTTTTAAATATATACACACGTATTATCCACTTTTACCGATAGAAATCTCATAATCGGTCCAATTTTATATTTATTTTACAGCTGACTCAAGATTAAGGCTGAATGAAAAAGAAAAAATGATTAGCCAAATATAGCCTTGTAAGAATGTCCCGACTGAAAATATAGACAGTACAGCATGGCAGAATAGCCAACACGTTTGAACTCAACCAGAACATGTTACAAGGCTGGTGTTATCAGAGAGCTTCCTTCAGGGTCCAGCTGATGTGGAAAATGATTTCTTTTTTGGCAGTGGGAGTAGCAGAAAGAGGTGGGAGGAGATAAGTAATTTTTCACAATACGTTCTAATTTTCTATAAAATTTTTGCCCCCCCTCCATTTGAATGAAAGTGCCTTTTCTTAATTTCTTTTACATTACACACAGTCTGTCCAGTAGGGGCACAAAATACCTAAGAAAAATTCTGCTGGCTTTGCTCATGTTATGTATCTCACATAGATTTATCTATTGAAAAGCTGATAGTTGTAATATAAAGCCAAGATTTGATCAGTAGAGGTTTACCATAAGTGGTTATTAGCTCTTATCATTCATACTTCTGCCTTTCATGCCATATATCTTTTCTTTCTTAACCTCAGTCTTCAATACCTCTATATCAACTGGGTTTTTTTTTAGAGACAGCCTTGTGGAATAATTTTCAACTTGTCACTGAGTTACTCTGGAAGATGCTTTATAGTGCAGCCTGAACCCCTCTCAGACATAAAATACTAACAGTAACACTAAGTAACAATTAGAAATGAAAATTAGTATCTTTAAACTTTTCAGGGGAAGGAGAGCAGGAAAGATCCATATTACGCTGTCAGTTCAGTGGAAGTCAGTGGAAAAGCAGAAGCAGCACACTTCTCTAAAAACTAAATCCCCATTAATCCCTCAACTCCCCCACTGCTCCAGTATGTTTCAAAACTGACTGAACTTGTGATATAAAATCAGTGCAAGTAGGTTCTTACAAAATGTGTTTTATAGGTACACAGGTTAGCTGGCAACATTTTCCTACCTAGCTCTACCCAGGCTTCTTAATGCTGAACTAAATTACTTCACCTACTTCTGATGTCATTCCAGGGATATTTAAAACAGAAAGATTAATCAAATTAACCTATTTTAACAAGATTTTTATTGAAAACATACACAAAGTCAACAAGTTATTTAGCTTCTGAATGTACTTTTTAGAGAATATTCATATTAGAGAAGAATATTTTAAGAAAAAAGGAAATACAACCGACATGCTGCAGTTTACATTACTAAGGCATTTAGGCTTAAGAGCAAGTTATACTGTGTTTATGTGTGTGTGTGTATCTACATACACAAACACACAAACATACACACACAAGTTATCCGATTTGAAACTGTACAGTGCTATGCAATTAATTATTTTTTGCTTTTTCTATTTTTTCAACACTAAATAAAGCTTTTATCCAAATGGTAGAAGTTGTTCACAGAACAGCAGTTATAATCTACTCTTCAAGAGTTTGCTTACAATACTAACGATGCACAAAAAAACCTCCAGATTTTCATGGGAAAGTTCTCTCTTACCAAAATGAGGCTCGAGTAAGAAAAACACTAGCTTGCAAAGGCACCGTGGAAACAGGTTTTAATACATTAAATACAACATGAATCATTCACAATAACAAGTTTAGTGTTTCTGGGAACTTTTGTAAATACAACACAGTTGGTCACACAAAAATGTTTCTGTTGATTTGTCTTGGCAACTCAGATACATCAACAGTGTAACAGCATAACAGCTTTGTTCCCATCTGACAGAAAATAATGGCAGTTCTGCAAGGCAAACGTTAAACCTGACCGTATGTATTTATTAATTCCACAGTGTTTTGACAGATTAGGGGGGATGCAACTTAAAGGATGCTGACACGCTCACTGAGGGCTTTCATTTCTGTTTCTTCTAGCTTGGTGTTTTCATTATGGTTAGCACGTGGACTGATAAGGTGTGCTGGATAGTGCAATCCGTGTTCTCCTGAATATTGCTCCCATCGGGAATCATCACTTTCATGGGTGATGTAACGTTCCCCCATTTTACATTCAAGTTCCCTTAAATCTAACCAGGTTTGATAGTCCTGAAATAGAATAACAGCATTAGTTTGAAATTTCCTAACATAAATTACATTCCCTGCTATTATGGAGATTATGCAAAGTGCTATTAATTCAGCAATCTAAAGGTCATACATTCCTATTACTCTATAATGAAAAAAAAAATCTTATAATTAATAAATATGAAATCTGCCTATAGAGGTACAGGTCATCTGTAAAGGATTGTTTGATAAATTAATTTTATTAACCTTTGTCATAAGTATATACAGTATATATATGGAGATGTTACTGGTAGTTTTGCAAAATGTATGGATAGTCTACAGCTTTCCATTAATATCTAAGTGAGATATGGTGGTAAAACAATTTCTGACACTAGTCACAAGATGAACAAGGAAGAAGAAATATCTATATCATGCATGCACACCCTAGTGATCTTTGTCAGATAGTGAAGACAGTTGATCTATATCAGTATATGAACTTAGCCTGGGCTAGAAAAGATCTGCTTTTCCAAACTTAGGTAAATACTGTTGTGCTCAAAGAGACTTATTAATCTAAACATCAAGGTACTTTGGAACTTTGTGTGACAGTCAACAGTAAGGCTGGAAACTGGTTTGTTTCTCACACCATTTAGACCATTATGCTCTGCAGCCTGTCATCTGCCTAAAGTATCTCTCAGGTGTAATATTTTATTTTCTTATTCCCACCCAAAGTGTAAATGAAACTGTAGTAATAAAGCCAATCCTAGCCCCATGAAGAGTAGCCTCAACTCACAATACTGTATCCAGTTTTCTTTTTTTCTCCTTCACCTTGTCTCAACCTAAGACACAACCCTGGCCACTTAGCCAAAGCACCAGAAAGCTTCTACATTGTAAATGCATTAAAGCCTTCATTCTCAGTATTTCACATGCTTTGGCCTACTTCATATGCACACATCCTCTCAGAATTTACCTCTACTTGCACCATTATTATCTCTCCTTAGCCCTCAGTGTTGGTCTCTCCTGTAAAGAGGACTCACCCATGGTGCTAGAGCTGGTGCAGTACTGCCTCACCTTAGTTCACCCCCACTCACTACTTCATGGTGATAAAAGTGGATGTAGAAAGGTGAAGGCTGTCCCATCATGCGAGACAGCCAGCACTCTTGCTGCAGACCTTAGCCCAAATCACATCTCAGGTCCCCAAAGTCTCAGACAAATACATTCTGCAATCATTACCAGGGAGAAGAGCAGGAAAAAGAATGGAGAGTGACAAGAAATCTGGGAGGAAAAAAACAAGCCCAGAAGGAATGCCCCTGGGGAAGGCAGGGTGCAGGGTAGGAGGCTGCAGCCATTTTCCTCTACACCAGGAGATCATAAGGCACTGGAGCAGGACTCAGTTTTCAGTTTGGATAAAGATTTCTTTGGGATTGTGGATTATGCATTTCATCTCCGCTATGCCTTTGCCAGATGTGAATCCCTTGGGAGATCCCACTGGCTGATGTCCCATCCTGGCCTCAGCCTGTCCATATCACCAGGGAGGGGTCCAAAATGCCCTAGCCTGGGGCACTCCCCAGCCTACCTTGCTCCCTGGCTGCTGGCAGTGGAACAGGTCCTGGCTGCTCAGTACATTGGTTCTAGCTTAGGTCTTTAACTTGCAGTGATTTGGCTGCTGCCAGGACCAAAAAAATAACATGTAAGGAGCAGAAGACAGTGGCTGCTAGCATCTTAAAAATTCCTAACTTTTCAGTTTTTAATTGGAGATTTCAACTGGAGGTGGCTAATGCATTTTCCTGGAAAGCATACAACTTCACTAGTTCTTCTGATGACTGGGAAGTGAAAGCCCATTGATTAGTTTTACTAAGAAGCAAACTGGGGTAGACTCCAGGCAATAAGATAATGTAAGTCAAATGACTATAAGGGGGTTTTTTATACATCATGTTCTCAGTGGACAAACAAGATAAAAATATTTTTGTGGTGTATTTTGAAAACATGAAAGAGTTTAGTATTGAAACCTAACTCTTCAGAAATTAATGAGAATCTATAGTTAAATTGGGGAAGGAATATAAGGTCCTCAGGATCTGAAAACATCTTCAAGTCTGTAGATTTGCTTAGATTCTACTGTGCTTAAAGATGAAAATTTTCACATACTTAAGAGACTAAATGCATAACAAAAACCATGGAATTTGTAGCAATACCTGTAACCACGGGTGGCTTAACGTTTTGTCTACACTGTAGCGCTTTCTCATTTTCACTTGCAACAAATTATTTATGAGATCAATAGCTGAAAAGAAATAATATGGAAAAATGTCAGTTGAAATATATATATATTTTTTTTTTTAACTAGGGTATGCAAACAGATAAAGAGACATGGTAGATGCAAAAAGAGGACAGTTATCCCTTCTTATCCCAGTGTTTTACAAACTGCAGCCAGAGTTGATGTCCTTGAAGGTACCCATGCAACCCTTCCTAACGGCATTACAACTGTTTTACTAAACAGCTACCTGCTAGCTAGCATATTGTCTACCTCTGTGTGTTCATTCAGAGCCACGCAGCAAAGACTGAGGATACTTCTCACTAAGTTCCTGTTCAAATGAAAAAGATCTTGTGTAAGTGAGGACTAAAGTATTCTTCAGGTACCATAGTAAACATGTCGGTATACATTTCTGAGACTCTCAGTATCACTTTTAGGTGACTGAGAGCAGCACCTTCCTAGGCAAGGAATCAGGTTTTGAAGTCACTAAATCTTGCAACACTAAGCTTTTGAACAGGGCATTGCTTCTACCTGCTAGTCAGCAGTGGGGTGTTTGACAAAAGCAAGTGGGCTTCTTTACAAATTTCTTATTTTCTGTATTTTTGAAGGAGTCAATGATACTTTGGGGTTACAGGCACGTGTGCAGTGCTGCCTGAAGGGAAGAGTCCCATGAGTCAATGATCAGTGCATGGAACTGCAATGAGTGATCCATTTGGAAAAATCTCTGGGATGCTGCTAAGCTTTGACAGCATCTACTAAAACTTTTTTTTTTTTTTTTTTAAAAAAGAAAGAAAAAAGTGTATCATGAAAGGTTTAATTCTATTCCAGGTGGTGTTAAATGTTTGGCACATGGTCTGGGGGAAGCTTATTCTTCTAGAATAATTGAATAATTGACTGGAATTATAGTATTATTGCAGCTTTCCATTTCATCACAGTATCACTTAACTTGTCCAAAGTACGCTGGTTTACATCTCTATGTAGGTGAGGAAAGAGATCAAGTTTCAACAGCAAATAGCCTTTGGTATTTTTTGCCATGAAATCATACAATTCAAGTAAAGCAATTTCTTAAGCATAAGAGTACTGAGTATCAGAAGTCAAGATGCAAACAATACATACTGGCAAGGCAACAAAAGGACAGTGCTGTGTAAAGGAAAGAAGTAGCTAGGGAGTTCAATACAGACAGGCTGAGTGCTGCTACTGAAGATTTAAAGGATTTTCTTAGGGATCTGGAATAGTCTGTTAATTAGAAAATTCTGAATTTAAGTGCTGTTTAATTGTAGAGGTTCAGACACTGATGGGTTCCATGGGGATATTGAAAGAAATGAGGAAACATCCTGGTTATTCTCTCTGTTTCAGCTTACAAAAACGAGTGTTGTCCTGAGAGCGTCTTGACAGCCACTATCTAACACAGTTTGGTCTGGCTACAGTTCATATAAGATGCATGTACATTGCATATAAGATGTACATGTTGACTCAATTTCTGAATAAAAAACAAAGCATATCATTAATAGTTTGATGATTACACTTTAAGTTGTACTGATTAAAAACACTGGAGAGAGATAAAAATTTGGAAGGTACTAACACTTATTTTTGACATATAACTCAATTGTGATTCGGGGAACCAAACTGCGACATCTACTGTTAGGACATTAAATTTTCTGTCTAGGAAGATAAAGCAGGTTTGAAAAAAGGGTAGCAAGTCCACTGTATTTTACAGTAAATTTTATGAATTTTCATTTCAGACTTGATTATTTTTAAAGTCAGATTTTAAAGTAATCCTTGTCAGATATTTTAGGAGCATTTTAAAGTTTGACAATATTCCTTTGTAAAATCAGTAATTCAATCAAAAGATCACCTATGGTCTGCACATCATCTATGGGAATCCAACAGGTTATCACCAAGAAAGCAACCTTAATGAAAGGTCTGAGAGGATTATGGTACTGCTTTTTCTAACACTTATGGCCTCCTATTTACGTCCAATGGTTTAAGGGTAGCAGCAGCCAGCTGAGGGCTTATCAAGTTCCGTGAGCTGGAGACTTTGTTAGAGGGGATAAACTAACCAACTACTCCAGCAGCATGACTACTGGTCATTCAGGTTATCATTCAGCAGCGTAACCAGA